GCCGCCCGCCAGCCAGTAGCTCACGCGCCCGTTGGCGCCCGCGTCCGCGTCCCGCGCGCGCACGCGCAGCACCGGCGCGCCCGCCGCGTTGTTCTCCGCCACGTAGGCGCTGTAGGCGGCCTCCTCGAACACCGGCGCGTTGTCGTTCACGTCCGACACCTCCAGCACCAGCGCCGCGCGGCTAGACAGCGCCGGGCTGCCCCTGTCCCTGGCAGTGATGGTAATATTATAAGCGGTGACCTTTTCTCTGTCCAGGGCACTGGCTGTTATGAGTTTATAGGTGTTCCCTGAAGACCCTTCTAGTCTGAAAGGCAAATCGCCGTCGATGTTGCAGCTCACTTCCCCGTTATCCCCCGAGTCTCTGTCACGGACATTGATCACAGCTACAACTGTGCTCATGACGGAGTCTTCGGGTATCGGGTTTAAAATAGGCAGGAGGGAGACAGTTGGCGCATTGTCGTTCACGTCTAGAATGTCTATGTGTACTTTGGCGTGTGCACTGAGCCCGCCTCCATCCTTGCCTTCAACAGTCGCTTCATAATATTTCCCTTCTTCATAATCCAAGGGGCCTGTAACCTTCACGTCCCCTGTCCTGGAGTCCAGAGTGAAGAGCTGGCGAGCACTGTTTGCGATGTCACTGAAAGAGTAGGTAATTTCCGCATTTGTACCTTCATCGCCATCAGTAGCTTTCACCTGAAAAGCTAAGGAGCCCTTTGGCAGGTTTTCCAGCAGTCGAACTTTATAGATCTCTTTGGTGAATACTGGCAGGTTGTCATTTGCGTCGGTCACATTAATCTTAATCTGGGCAGTCCCGGATCGAACTGGATCCCCGCCATCCACGGCCGTCAGTATCAAATGGTGACTTCTCTGTTTTTCTCGATCTAAGCTTTTCTCCAGCACTAATTCCGGCTGCTTTGTCCCATCAGGACTCTCCCTCACTACAAGACTGAAGAGCGGGTTGGGGGTAAGTTGGTAGTTTTGTAATGAGTTCGCCCCAATATCGGGGTCTCTGCCACTGCTCAGTAGAAACCTGGCCCCAGGAGGCGTGGACTCGATCATTTCTATGGCAACAAATTCTCTGTCAAACTGCGGCGCATTATCATTGATATCCTGGATAGTAACGCTTACATGAAATATATTGAAAGGGTTTTCCACGACTGCCTCCAAACTGAGGACACACGGCGACACGGCCTCGCAGACGCTTTCTCGGTCTATCCTCTCGTTTACCCGCAGATTTTTATTATCTTCCCCGAGAGTGAAGTATTGCTTTTCATCACCAGAGACTATCCGCAGCTTGCGTGCCGGCAGCTCCGCCGGGCTCAGCCCCAGGTCCCGCGCCAGCGGCCCCACCAGCGAGCCTCTGCCCCGCTCCTCGGG